ATAAAATTATCCAACTACCAATAACCCAGTACTAAGTTCTCTATTTTCAAGTATATGGATTACTCACCTGCCTGTGTATTGTAGAAAGTCCTTTTTGAAATACAATTCCATCCCATATGTCTCTGACGATGTGGATCTCTACAAATGACTCGTGAGCTTAGACTGCATTCCTATCATCGGGTTCAAAAACTTACGGGACAGGGTGTGCGCTCCACACCACCCTTAATCAAGAAGGCAGCTGAAGTAACATCGTGGAATGAAATTTGTTTCGGATTCTTGGAATCACAGAAAGGATCGACAATTTCGTCGAGTTCACCCGATACGTGTCGCGTCCTAGTATTGGGAACTATCAGCTCCAGCTTGCAGTTCTCTGCGGTTCCATTGGATTCGTTAGCTGATGCGCCATTCAGCCCATTCTGTGTTTGCTCTTTCGCTTCCTGCGACATTTTTGCGATATTCCGCCGTATTGGCATTTAATTAAATTATATCAACTAGAGCCGATGAGCGACAGCGAACAACTGCTCGGTGTGGTATGACTTTTATACATTTATAAAATCAAATTGAGTGAAACAAGCAAGAGTTATTCACGTTCGATTACCGACCATCAAATACCCTAATAATAACTAAAAGTTTTTGTAACCAGTGACCGAGAGTCTAATTTGATTTTATGTAAGGAAGGAAGGAAGTGCATTAGGAATATCCGTTCATAGGACTTTTTCTACAGCTGGATCAAACGTTCTTAGGATAACTCCACAGTAGACTTTGCCAGAGCTTCACAAATTTACACATAAACAACTAATCCCAATCAATATTATCTTTATCATGTGAGCTCACTGAGGAATCCTTATCCATAACCATATATACATACATATATATAAACGAGCTATGTATGTGGTCTCACTGATCAGATATAGCAAAGCGCATTTCATGAATTAACTATGATGCCCTATGCGAGAGTAAGCCAATTTATATATATTAATGATCATAAAACGGCATATTTCATGCCGATAGAGCAGGCATTTTATGAGAGTTCAGTTGGCGACCGCTGATAAGCCCCCTTTGGTAAGCATTATTGAACTGTGATACGAATTCTCACAATTGTTTTGGTCATTTTGGCAACATCATTTCAGTTGCTGTCGCATTTATAACAGCATACCATACCAATTTTTATTCC